TATATATATATATATATATATATATATATATATAAGTCTAATAGAATCTATATATGCTAAAGAAACAATTGAAATTTTGACTTTTGAATTTTGTTGTGGCTTAGTAATTGTATGATTTTCTTATAAATAGTTTATAACTAAGCACTAATTCTAAATCAGATGCTAAGTCATGCAACTCAAAATATAACATATATATACACAATATATGATATAAAAATTAATGAACAACTTAGTGCATCATATTCATGCATTTAATGTATAATTTTCTTGCTAACTAGCTAAATAAACATCATGAGATTTTTTTTTAAAAATAAATTCTCATTTTTATAGATATACATCAACCATAATGATTTAGCGGCTATAATGCGAAGGTCCACCTTAAGCCGATTTGATGCTTAGTTTGAGACAGCTTTAGATCACTATTGTTTCCCCCTATTTTAAAGAGATTTTGGTTCAAAAAAATAGCTTTACAAAGCAGTAAGAAAACCGTCTCAAATGAAGCTTTAAAAATCACATCATCTTTATATAACCCATCTGAATGTCAAATACATATATATTTAAAAGAAAGCCCGTTATATTGACAGAACCAGCTTGATTACTTTATAGACGAAATGTCACATCTAGCTTGATTACTAATTAACATTCTTTTGTATGTATATTACACAAAACTTTTCAAATGTAGCCCAAAGCCACTAGCTCAAATAATTTAGATGACATGACATAACTCAACATTTTATATAAAATAACATATACAACAACATATGATCAATCCAACTTATACAAATGGTGGCCCTATCAAGTAAAATGTTCTCTAAATGCATATGATTGTAAGTATAACATTCATAGTGTGTAAGAAGAAGCCTAAAGCAAAAGCCTTATGGATGATACAAACATACAACTCATAGCACAACATATACATGTTCCAAATTAAGTGAATATGAGAGTCATAATAGAAGTATCACAAAGATCATGCCAAACAACATCACTGATGATTCTACTGGTTGAGTCACCGAGTTGAGGGTCATCTAAGGAGAAATTATTACGTGCGATCACCGGATCGTTTGGAAGCGGATCAGGGTGCGCCATACCACCAAGTACGCGGTGTTATATAGCTGTTGTATACTACAAAATGGTGATGTGACGCATATGAGTTCACCTTTGAAGGATGTCCGATGACCGCATATAATAATTTTTCCCATCTAATGGATGGATATCAATATATCTATGAACAATCTCGATATGTCATATCCATGAATGTAGATCCGTTCACCGTATATATTGGATCAAGGACATTGAGGGCCGCCATGACATCATATCAAATCATCGGGTATAATGTGAGACATCATGAGGTTAAAACGAACTTATATGTATTTAATTCGAGATGATGGTACCCATGAGATCTAAGGCTTCGTTTGGGACGATTTTTTAATTGCTTTGTAAAAAAGAATCGTAGTACAAAAATTTTGCACTAAAACTCTGTTTTTAAAAAAGAAATAAAAAAGTCGTATAAAAAAAAGCCTAAATCTAAGTGGATTTTCTATTCTAATGAGAGAAAATATAGAACACAAATATGTAGACTGAAATTAAAGTAAATTAATGTACATATTATGCTAATTAAGTTTTAAATAATTAATTAGGCATAAAGGAGCTCTGTAGAGATGCAATTGAGGCATTCAACAGTAGATAACTGAGCCGGAAACAGAAAGGAATAACTTCGGCGTTTTTTTTTTTTTTTAAACTGGAGGCTATTTACGGAATAACTTCAAGAACTCCGAAGAAAGAAGAATCAAAATAAAAGAAAATTAATGAAAAAAAAGAAGGAATTTATAAGGAGATCGGAGCACGAACCAGAGAGAGAAAAAGGAGAAAGCTGAGTTCTCCAATCTTTTTTTCTGCACGAAAACAAAGTCTTGTTGCTCAAAATTCGATCTTCTGAGGTTTTTTTATTCACTCAATCTCTCCGATCGCGTCGTTCTGCGCGTTTCTATATTCGCATGAGGATTCGAAACTCAGAGAAGCTGCTCGGGTTCGCATCCGAGTATCGCAGAGCTCCGTCACCGCCATCGCCATGGGATTCCGCCGCCGCTATCGTAGCCGCGGCAGGGCTTTTATGCGAGATCAATCGTTCGTCTTGTGCCGAAGTTTCGATTAATCTACAATCATCGAATTATCAAAAGGTTAGATCGATCGTCTCGCTGTTCTCTTTCGCCATCTTCTTCTCTCTCGCCTTTCTCTTTTCTTAGGGTTTTCTCTATTCCCTTTTGACCTGTATCTGATCCCTGCCCTGATCAAATGGTTTTTTTGCTGAAAATAAAATAGAAGCGAGATGATCGCGTTATGGTGGATATTGAGCCGTAAATTTTGTTAACAACATAAAATCTTGATTGTTCGGCCAGATTAGATAGTTATATCGGTCGGGCTTATCGCCTAATTTGGGGAAAATCACTTATCAGCCAAGCTTCCTTCAATATGGTAATATTTACTTCTAACTGTTTGGGATTTTGACAGGAAGGGTTAGAAATCTCGAATGAGGAGAAGGAGAAGATGGACATCGCCGGAAAAAGCTCCGATGATAAAGAAGAGGAAGTGAAACCAGAGGAAAAAATAGGAGATAACGAAGAAATCAAGAATGAGAAGGAGCCGGCGAGGAAGAGGAGAGAGAAAGAGGTCGAAGCAACGGGCATGACGAAATGCAAGAAAATGAACGACGAAGGATGTCACTGCAACCTCAGCCAGCTCAGCTCCTATCTCCCTCGCTCGGAAGAGCAAATCTCCGGCATTGATAGAGGAAGCGGAATCGCCTCCAACTCTTACGACGACTACTGCGTTTTGGGAATCGACAGCCGTGAAACTACCAGTAGAGGCAACAAGAGTTCGGCGTTGGCTGATCGTCTTAATGGTGCGGATGAAGAAGCAATCGGTAGTGCGAATCTCTGCAACTTCAACTATAAGAAGAAGATGAAGCCGCTGAAGAAGAGAGGGAGGAAGCCAATGAAGGCTCGTTCTCTGAAATCTCTTCTTTCTTTTAGAGTTTGTTGATCTGATTCATGACCTGGTAGACGATGAAGCTCCATGGAGGTCGAGCTGTAAATTTCTTCCCACCAGCTCTCTTCTTAGTTGACTAAGGAAGCAGAGATAGGTTCTGCATGTAATAATTTCTGCGTCTTAAGGTTATGTTGGGGACAATTTTCTTACTGTTTGGTCTTTAAGATCATCATCATGAGCCAGTTTGGCTGATATTTTTTTTTATTAATTTTTTTTTTACAATAGAACAATTAGATTAAGATTTTTTTTTTCATTATTTTTTAACTGCTCTTAAAATTTTTTTACTAAAAAATTATTTTTAAAAATAGTAAAAAACTGCGCCGAATGTAGCCAAAGATGGTCATAACAAAATTATTTAATGAGTTTTTTTTAGTTATAGTACAAATTAATATTTTCAAAAAAATTATTTTCTCTGTAACATTCTTATAGTTATTTTTATAAATAATTGAAGCTCCTCCTCGAACAAATCCTAAAATTAAAAAATACCAAACAGTCATTTTAGATTTGAAGTCTTTATTTGGGACGGCTTTTTTATTATTTTTAAATCAATTTTTTCGTACCAAAATTTAAAATTTTATGCTAAAAAGCTGTTTAAAAAGCATAAAGAAAATCATCTCAAATGAAGCATAATAAAAACAATTTGGGTCTGAATGTTCTAAGAATTTTTTTTATCTTTATAAATTTAAGAACATTAAATTTATTTTGAGATGTATTTAATTTAAATTTATTTAATAATATTTAATAGCTTTCAGACTTTTAATGGCTCAATTTTTTAAAAATTTAAATCCTATTAGTTAAATCTTGTTTTAACCTCGTTGTTATTTAATTTTTTTTTTAATCCTATATTTTTAAAGAATTAATTAATATAATGTTTTCTCTCTCACACAAATATAAAAAGAAAAATTTGAGTCCTTATAAGAATTTCTGTCATAATCTTTAAGTCAGTCGATATACTTTGAAATGAGTATAATAAAAAATAATTAAGGGAGATTTAATTTTGACTCTAAAATTATATTTTAAGAAGCAATAAAAAAATCATCTCAAATGGAGCATTATATACATATTATTTAATTTTTATTTATTAGCACAACTAACACATAAATACTTATATTTACTTATAGGATACTTTAATATTTAAACCAATAACAAATATTACTAATATTAACTTAGATTTTGTTTGACACAGTTTTTTTTTATTATTTTTTAAAATAATTTTCTAGTACAAAAATTTTTGAATTAGAAAATTTATACTAAAAATAGTTTTAGGAAGCAGAACGATAGTTGTCCCAAACAAAGCCTTAATTAAAATGAACTATACCTTTCATATATATGTTTTAGAAACTACTATATTTTATAAATAAATATAATGATTTAAATATTAGATATATAACAACAACAACATTATCATCAAGTCTTTGTCCCACTATGTGGAGTCGGCTACATGAATAGGGGTACATTTCTATCACATAACAAGCCCGATGCATTCCTCCACTTCAACCATCCAACTTAAATTCTGCTAATAATATCCATATCTATTTCACAATCACTCTGAATAATAGATCCAAGATATCTAAAACGTGTACTCTTATTAATGACTTGATCGCCCAAAGTCACAATCCCTTATTAAGTCTATTGCTACTAAAATTATACTCCATGTATTTAGTTTTAGACCTACTAAACCGAAAACCTTTAGATGGTATATATATAAATATATAAAATTTTTATACTGTATATATAAATATCTCAATAATTAATATTACACTTATCTTAAAATAAAACTCAGAACTTTGATTTATATTCTCATCAACAATATTTTCTTATAACTAAATAGTTAAATAATTTATTTAAAAATGACATATCTTTTAAAATAGTTTTGAAATTTTAATCCACTAAAATTATTAAATTTATAGAATTTATTAAATTTATTTGAGTTCAATCCTATTCATAGCCTAACGGCATCTCTTGATAATACTAATGAAAGTTCGAAAATGAATTTTTGTGGGCCTCCAATGAGCAGAGAACATGTGATTTTGAGTGCTCGCCTTTTCTATCTGGCTTCGGGTAACAAGCACATAATAAATAATAAGTAGGAGATAATAGCTATATATTTTTGTACAATTTCATACGATTTTATATGAAAAGTAAGGACCTAGAGGTAATTTCTAATTAAAAACTTTCAAATAATTAGGATCATCAAACTTTGATTTCAATAAATTTATAGTCGAATTGAACATTTCAATAAACTTTGAATTACGTACATGTGTTTATTTTGAGGCTTTTGCCTTGAAGGTTTTTGGACAATTCAAAACCTTTTGTGATTTTTACCTACTAAGAGTTTTGAATGAGTGGAGGCTCCATCAAACTTTTAGTAAGAACTTTGTCGACTACTAGCTTCCCATTGAGGCCGCCTTGTGGGTGTTTCTTTCCGGGGTAACTTGCACTCATGGGGTCTTTCTAGTGAGGATTTTATTCACTGCTAGCTTCCCCTCGAGACTACCTCTTGGAAATGCCTTCATGGGGTCGTTATTCTGAGTACTGCTTGATTGCATTGAATAGTATAAAAGAGATTTAGAGAAATCCATGAAGAATGTTTGACATATCCGAGATTTTTTTCAGTGCATTGCTCGATGACATTAACTTGTGTGAAAGATGTCGAAAGAAATCATCAAAGATGTTTGACCTATCCGAGGTTATTTATTAGAGTATTGACCACTCATATTTTGTTATTCTTAATTAAAAGAATGATTATGAGCTATTGAAGAAGTATGTTGGGAGTGTTTTCACAAATGGTGCTAAACTATTGCATACTAAAAGATTTGAGTTGTAGAGTTTATATTTTACGTCTCAGCGTTATACAAAGATTCAACACATATAAATGAAAGTTACTAGACCAAAAAAAATTTACATGAAAAATTCATAAAAGAAAAACCATGGGGCCTGACCCAATTGTAAAATCATAGATGGTAAGTGATATGAAGATCATCCTTTCTTCATTGTTGAAGAAGAGGAGAGGAAGAGTACAAAAATTAAGTATAACAATTAATACCCAACAATATAGCTTAATTTTCCAAATGTGAATTATAGAAATAAATGTCCAACATCAAGGTCAAATCTTATCAGTATTCTAGAGATGGTGGTGATTTCTGATCTCGATCATTGATGGTGATAATGATTATTGGTATCGATAGTTGGTGGTGATCGTCGATGGCAATGGCTAAAAAATGCAAGAGAGTTCTCTTTCTTCTTCCTCCCTCGTGTGAAAAATGAGGGCAAATTTATAGGTTTTGGGGAATGACATGCTCCGTAAATATGGAGAAAATCTAGAGCAAATTTGGAGTGCTCCAGCCGACGGTTTATATTAATTCCTTTGATTATAGAGTTTATATCAGCATTTAAGTGCCCTGCTGATGTCAGAATTAAGTGATCCTAAGCTCGTTAGATTTATCTTGTTGAGCCACTCGATTCGACTATAAGTATGCCTTATTTGAAGATTATTTGATTGTCCAATTAATGATTTGAAGTTTCAAATATATTTCAATCTCTTGGTTCGAGCCCATTCAGACTCAAATTTGGCCGATTTTAGTGTCATCTGATTCGTCTTGTGAGAAGTTCAATTTGACTATAAGGTTGATGAGACCATAGTTTGGATGGTCCCAAATTCAATTTTGAAAATTTTTAGTTCAAATATACCTCGATATTAGTGTTTGATCAAGATGATTTTTGATGACGTATTACATTTCATATTTATTTAATTCATACAAAAGCTACATGCCTAGTCATATTTTTAATTTTAATTCTTAAATATGCTATATTTGAATATAATTTTGTGTTATCATTTTTTCTTAGTAATAATCATATTTCATATTCATATAATATCATATCCACATCAAATGAAAAGACTTTGCCGAGTTCTACCGAAATATATTGATTATTTTCGTATAATTTCTCCATTAATGTGATGTTAACAAGCCGTTTAATTACATTTAAGTTCGCTTAATTTTTACAATTTGCATTTTGAAATTACATTCTTCAGTTTGAATTAATCAAAAATAGATATTTTTGATATTAAAATTTTGTTACCTTACTGCTACTAATTTTGGAATCGAATGCCCTCTCATATTAACTACACAAATATAATTATTTATAAAATTTTTCTTATATTTTAGAATCAAACTCGAACCGAACTTGAACAAGCTGATAATAAATGAACTTAAATATGAATATGCATATATACTCGGCTCAGCTCGACTCTTTTTCAACCATATATATAGTAGGAATAATTAACAAATATGATTCAAAGGCCTTTCTCTCTCCTCTCTCTTCTTCCATTCTTTCAATTTCTTCATGGCCAAACAATCAAGTGAGGAAGTCGACGGAGTTAAGTAGCTCGCTGATGTCAAATGGAAATGATGCTTGGGAAGCAGTGGTCAAATGACTACAACTTTGAAATGAAAATCATGTAGTGATGATTAGACGATGCTAATTTTATAACAATGATTTGACAATAGTAAATGAATGCTGACAACTAAAAAATGCTAATTAGATGATGATAACAATTAAGTGATGGTGGTCGGAAGACAACAACTAGCGATGATCAAATACAGCAAATGTTGTTTAGAGCTTTATAGTTTTTCAAATTGTTAAGCTCTATTGAAGTTCAAGTTTATATTCCTTTTATATATGTAGGATAAGAGTCTATTATAGTATTTAAGAGTGTCATTTTTATGAATTTAACTAAAGTCTCAAAACACTCTTTATTGCTATCCTTGAATATATATCATTTATTCAATATTTAAGTTTCTTAATGATCTCAGAATTGAATGATTTTGGGCTTATTAGATTCATCTTATCGAGTCGCTTGATTTGACCATTAACTTCACATATCATTTGGCCCTTCAATAAACGCTTCAAAATTTTTAATTATGGTTCAGTGTTCTAACTTATCCTTATCTAGATTCAAATCAGGTCACTTTTAATATTGTTGGATTCATCTCATTGAGATATTTAATTCAACTGTAAGTTTATTGAAATCAAAATTTGAATTGCTCTCAATTTGATTCCAAAAGATTCCGACTCACACATTACATAGGTTCATTTCTGATCTAACGAAATTTTTATGATGTTTCAGAAATAAATCAAACAATACTTG